CCCCAAAACCCCAAAACCCCAAAAGGGTAGTTATTATATCAAAATTATGAAATATAAATTATAATGAAGTTAATTATAACTTTTTTAAAATATTCTCTGTCTATAAATTGATCATTTCACAATATAGTGCTTTATCTCATTTTTGTTAACGAGATAAGTATGATATTAGAGAACTGACTCTCCGTTTTTTTATTCTTATACTTTCGAATTCATATTTTTATTTACTTAATAAAATGCTTATTTCTTGATCAATCTTAATTTAAATGAGATGCTTTTTAGTTTTATTAGCCTTAACTTAGCTACTCATTCCTATTATTATTTTATATCTCCAATTTTTAAATTTTTAAACTAACTTGATCATTTTATAAGCATTCATTCCTCTCCTTAAACTCATTTTATTAAGGATTAACCTAATTTAAGATATTTTGTTTATTGATCGCCACTTAATATTCTTTTTTTTAAACTACTTCTTATCTTGTTTTCATAGTTTTTTTGTTTAATGCTTATTCTTTAAGTTATTTTATCTTTAAATAATCTAGACTTTAATCGGTGTCTTTACCACTGTATTAATTATAATTGTCTTAATCATAATCTGAATTAATGCTTGAAACTATCAAACTATCTTCTTTTTATTCTAATTATTATTCTTTTAAACCGTTATCTTTCTCATCGATTGAGCTAGATTACTAAAATTATGTAATTTAATCAAGGTTGGTCCTATGCTATTTAGTTGTTATCCAAATATCTTCTTAAAAGTTTTCATTATTAAGTTACTTTTATTCAGCATTGATCTTTTAGTCTATGAAATTTATATCCAAAATATTTTATTCAAAAGCTTAATAATCATTTCTATTCTAATTTAATGTTCTTTACTTTTTAATAGATTAATTTAAAAGGCTTTTATCTTTTTCAAAAGTTTTATATCTTTCCATTTTATTATTTCTTGGTTTTTATTAAGATGTGTTTGCTATATTATCTTTTCTAAATCTGTCGTGCTTCTTAATTATTATAACTCCAACCTCGTCTCCATCCATGTTTTTCTTATTATTGGTTTTAAAAGAACTATTTAAATTTACTATTTTCTCGTTTAATTATTCAAATTCGTTCGCCCTATTATTATCCTCCTCTGAATGAAAATTATTTTTTTCTTAATTTATTATAAAAGGAGATTTATCTTTCATAAAAATTAATTTATTATCTCCACTCATATTTTCTTGATCATTTTGATAGCTTAACTAATTCTATATCTTAATTACCTATTAATAAATATGCTTTTTACTTTTTTCAATTTATTTTTTCATTTTTAGATTGTTTGAATCAGAAGAGTTATAATAAAACTTATTTTTTTATCCTATGCCAATAAATTTACGTTTTTAAAGTCCCTCATTTTATTCTCCCTTAATCCCTCCAAATTCTTACCTTTAATCATCTGCTCTTTAGAAATTAATTGATATGGATTCATCTCCACTTGTATTAATCGAGTCATAATTAAAACTATATTTATTTTTGAGATTTTTAATAGATAACTTTTTGTTTTATTAGTGTTAATTCAATATTTAAGAAGTATTTATTTCACTAGCAAAGTTTAATAGCTTTTTATTACTATCAATTTTATAATCCTAAACTAATATTTCATCAAGATTTAAATTTTAAAGACTTAACGATCCATTGAAACTAGATTGTGACCTACTATAATAGTTTAAAGATAAAAATCTTACAATTCAAAATCATTCATAGATTATTAATGCTACAATTTTATAAGCTTATTATTTTAACTGGACCTACCTCTTTTTAAGCTTTTAATATTTTATTCTTAGAACTCTTAAAGCAAACCTGTAAGTTTTATTATTAGTCTTTCATTAAGTTTAATGTCACCTTTATTAAACAATATTTAGAACTGCAAGATGATCTTTTAGAAATGTTCTTCAAACTTATTATTAAGCTGCTAACTATAATTTAGAATATTTTTATAATCAAATTTTTCTTTGTCGAAACAAACGCATATAATCAAATACACTTTTTGGAAATTAGTTCTCAGTTTTTATTTGATATCTTAAAGCATTTTATAAGTCCAATATATAAAAAATATAAGGTTTGATACCAGTATAATTGCAAAAAAGAATTTTTTTAAAAAATTAGAGAGGGCAACTGAGCTCTATGCATATTCAGGATTATTTTAGATCCATTTTTAAGGTTTATCTAATATAAAAAATATTCCACAAAATATAGTGAGCATTGAGGTTGCTAATGATAAAGTTTCCAGTTTATTAAGTGCTTTGGTATTAAAGGGTTGATACTAAGAATTAAATAATAAACAAAAAAACATCATAAAAAACAGTATTAATGCTTAAGCTATAATACCAAAACTACCAATAAAAACTGAAACAAAGATTATAATAATCTTTCTGTACATAATAACAATCTCCCAATAAAAAAAATCAATTTTATATCCTCGATATAAAAACCCATACTTTTCTCTTATTCGATATGTTTCTAGGTCCTATCTGAACTTAAATAATAATATAAGAGCAAAAAATGGTATACCAATTCCCCATATAATAATGCTAGGCAAAGCAACAAAATAACTGTAGAATGAATGAGCTTAACTCCAACATATTATTTCTAAATCATCTAACAATCTTAGTTCTCCATCTATTTCTCAGCATTTAAAATCATAGAATGAATACTAAACAAGACTTGGATGAGCCAAGAATAGCAAAATGACTAAACTTGATGTTGCTTTAGTATCAATTCGAAATTAGTTTTTACGAACCTTATTTAGTATTGACCAGAATAAAAAGCAAGAAAAAGTCAAAAAAAATGGAAAAAATGCAATTATAATGAGCTTGAAGAAAAATATTCTCTACTAATCTGAGTTGCTCTATTCTCCATCAAATCTAGAATTTATGAAGCAATCTATACTAAATACTTAGGTTGAAACTTCTCCGATTTAATCAGTAACCCCAAAGAATTAAAGAATCTATTCAGACCATGAAAAATCAAAAGAAGATGTCATAAGAAGAAGCTAGAAATGATTAAGTAGAATCTTAATATAAATGCTAGTGACATTATTAACATTCTTAGCCCCATTAAGAGTCGATCTTACCATAAATACAATCAATAAAAATATTCCCAAAAATATAGCTATAAGTCTAATTGAATTTTCCCAATGTGGTGGACATTAATTACATTAGTAACTATTGTCTCTTGAATAGCCTTTGCTACAGTCTCTACAGAGAATCCCTCTGTATCCTTGAAGGCAATCGCCCATAGGATTATAATTTGGAGGTATCATTCCAAGACATGCTGGTTCAAAAAGACACTTTTCAACTAGTTTAGTTGTATTACTTTTTCTCCAATATCCAGGCAAAGGCCCAATATTTGCACCTCCATGGCATATTGCTTTATCAG